GATCAAAAATGAGAATGTTCATCTAAGACAACCCTTCTGTAGATGATGTGTTTTATTAATTTTTTTTTGTGGGCATATACACTTTTCTTACTGTGTATAAAGGATTCAGATGGAAGTTACATTTTTTTTGTAATATATGAAGAGCCTGTTAATCTTGGAGAATAAGAACCCAATAAATTTTTCCAAATATATTTGTTGACATGATTATTTTTTTGTATTAAAAATGTATTTTGTGTCTGTAATTTTCCTCCTTCTTGCTTTGGTAGGAAACTCAGGGGTAAAATTCCATTACGTATATGAAATTGAGAGCCAAGCAGAAGTACCAGATGTACATTTCTGCATCTTTGTATGGATTGAGACACCCAGGAACACAAATTTCTATTGTTTACAGTACAGAAGTTAATTATCCATATTTTAAAAGTCAGAACTTCGATACTTAAGGGTGCATTTATATATTCTTGTCAGCACATCAAAAAATTGAACCCAGGTCATTGGCATACATGTCTACTGTGGGAAGTCATTTTCCCAAACTGGAGTGGCCAGGCAAACTCCTGGAACTACAAAATTTCAGGCAAGTTCTTTGAGTTGCAAAAGCATTTTGTTCAGTTGAGGGTTCTGGCTTTATCTTGTGGGGAGACTGGGCAAATGTAGCTGGAATGAGGACTGCATAGGAGGAAGAGGATGTTTACATTTTCCCCTGTATTCTCTCTGAGCTTTCCAACAAGATATTTAGGCATGTGACTCTCCAACTACTTTATTTCAAGTCCAGCTTATTGAGGTTTGTTTAATATCCAACTAAAATAGTTCATTTCTAGCTCAGTTGGAACTTCAGATCTTTTGTTCTGAAATCCCTTCCTTGAGCTGCTGTGGTTTTTGATTTTAAACAGCTCATCTGGGAGACAAGGACTTGGTGCACTTCTGTCATGTAAGTTTTCTCTGCATGGAGAGGTCAGCTTTTGCATTGAAAATCATAACCAAGAGTTAAGTGCATTAAAAAATAAAGTTTTTTTTTTTTTTCTTGCAGACTGAGATACATAGTTTGAAACATTAAAACCAGAAAATCTGGAAGTCTTAACTGTGTGTGATGTACATTAAATTTATAGGGTTGTTTTAGAATTGCTGGAATTTTGGCAAGATTCTACAATCTCCATTTCAGACTCAAAACCTTGGCTTCAAAATGGATTGAGTTGTATGGTTTTCATGGGGAGCTTAGATACCATTTTGAAGTTTGGAAGGAGGACATGACTAAGAATTGATATGATTGAGATAACCTGGCTAGGGGTGCCCAAAAGCTAATAACAGCCTGAAAGCAACACTCTACAGCTGGGTTTCCTGTATTTTGTGAAATGCCCTGGATTGAAACAAAATTCTTCTGAGCCTTATTTTTGTACATGGCTTCTGTAAATGGCTTCTGAGCCATTTTTGGTACAAAGATGCAGTATCTTCACAATGAATTTTTAGTTTCAAAATAATTGTGAAGATACACTCTTCTTTCAGCGGCACATATGCTACAGGAGAAACAACAACACTACTGCAAGTAAGGATTTGGCATTTCTAATTGCTTTCTAACCTTCTCCAGCCTGAAAATTTAAATGTTAGATTCCTGTCTGACTTTTGGAATTTGCATACAAGAAAATAATTTTTGTGGAGTAAATTAGTATCACTTATGTGCCAGTGACTGCCAGATACACAAGAGATATTTTGTCCTTTTCACAGCATTCAGGGAAATAACTTTGTTAATGGTATACATGAGAATTTTCTGACTCTATCACCAACACGGATATTCAGAAGAGCTTAAATTTTCAGTTAGAGGGTAAATTTAAAACAGATAGCAGCAATTTTATGTTAAACTGTGCTGTAAACCTTGATATCGGTGTATGGTTTTTAGCTTTATAAATTGTCCATGAAATGAAGAAATCCAGGGAGTCACATTTTAAGTGAGCTGCTACAATGGATGTTTCTCATGACATAACTTTCTCTTACTGGGAAACTTTGCCCTTGGCCCTTTTCAAACAAATGGCTGTAAATCAGAAGTAATGTTTGTAAAGCCTATGAAGTACAGCAGGAGACAAATATCAAAGCTTTGCCTTCATGTCAATTTGGTTCGCCTTTTCTTTTCTTTTTTAGGAATGTACTTCTGGAGATAAATGTTCCCAGGATGCCAGTGCACTGGTTGTACCTCATCAAAGTCAAACTGGTTTGATTTCACTGAGACCAGTGCAGTGTAGCAAAGATGGATTTGCCTCTGTGTTGATCTGTTGTAAATAAACTTGCTTCTTTCTGGAGAAAGTCTCCTTCTGAGAGTTAGCCTGCATCCACGTCCTCTCTCCTTTTCTCTAGAGTTCCCTGGTGTCTAGTTCCTACTTCCGTGCAGGAAGCACATGACACTGAGTGTGCCGAGCCATTGGGTGGATAGCGAAGACAGATGATGCTCTTTGACACGGCAGCAGTGAAACACAAGATGTGCCAGCCATTCTTAGCACAGGATGAATTTGAACCGTTCTCTGAGGCTGTTAGCTGGCAGCAGCTCTGCCTGCTGTAAGCTGGCAAGGCTGCAACAGTAAGGAAAGGAAAGATGGGAGAACAAAGCCTATTTTCCTCTGGTTTTAAGGAGTAAATACTATCTTTGGGTGGACTTTGAGATCATCCAAAATTTGAGGGAAAAATGTTAAATGAAGTCAGCTGTAGCTCAAAGTTTGTACCTTCTTCCAAAAGAACAAGAATAATTTAGGATGCTAATGCTACATCTGTTCCACCCAGCCAAAGTGTCACAACCCTTTCCTGACCCCAAGGCCAACCCACAGCCTGTGCCAGAGATCATGAAGGGTCATTGCTGAAAGAACTGGCACAGACAGTCTCAGCTGTGTTTTCAGCATACAGTGTGTAATATGGATATTCCTAAAGCGAAAGCCAGCTGTCCAGTTGCTTTGATAGTGTTTGTTTCAGCTCCCACTATACTTCTTCCTCTTGAAGTCCTGTTTAAAAAAAGCTCCATTGCTACAGAACTTAGAACAAGTCAGGCAGAGAAACCAGGAGAAATTTACCAAGCATCTGATCTTACAGAGGAATACTTTTTTTCATGAGGAATTTTTTTTTTTTTCATGAATGAGAGAGGCAAGAAGGCCTGAATCTGACATGGGTAACTTTATTTTTAAAGAGCAGATTTCTTGCACACATCCCTTTCCTGCAAATTCAGGGCTACTCACAGTAGTCTCTCACATTCTGTGGTGCCTGCAATCATCACTACTGTTGCTCAGCTAAGTGCTCAGGGAAAGCAAACATAGCCAAATTAATAGTTTGAAGCACATGCCCATATTATTATCCATACTGCAAATAAGATTAGGAGCTGTGGCTTACATAGGTCAACTGGTCTTGAGTAAAATACCAACTCCTATTAGTGAGAGTACTTAAGACTGGTGGCTAAGTGTATCCACAGCCCAGACAGATCTGATTAGGCTCTGACATACCCATGAACAATGTGCAGTGTGTTATTTGCTGAGCACGGTCCAAACAATTTCCCACAGAAACCAGTAAAATACTATTAACATCATTAGCAAACTTAAAGATTTCTGTATTTTCTTACTACACTTTGGAGAACAATCTGTTTCTTTATTTGGGGACACTGCCTGCAGCAGCAGAATTACAATCTCTGACAGGGGCCGCCAGACACTGGTCCCGTGCAGACACGAACCAAGTAGGGTTTGGGGGAAGATTACTTCCCCCAAAGTGATGGAAGGAAGTGATGGGGGAAGTGATAGCTACCCACCTCTGCACATCAGCCAGACGGCCAGTTTTCTGGGGTATGTGTCAAATCAAATTTCAGAGGTTGAGTGGAAACAAGGAATGCTTTGCCTGCGGCTCTGGAGGCGATGAAGGACTGGGGTGGATGCACACATCCTGATAATGCACTGTACTGGCCACCCTCTGCTGCAAATTGGGCCTCTGTCTCTGCCCATCCGTCTCTTATCGTTTCAGTACATTTCTCTGCATCACCACTGCAAAGAGACAAACCGTATTCTGGCAGGGGAAGGCCCTAGATTTTCCCCGAATGCACTTGAAGAGATGCAGCCTATGTGTCCCTGGCACAGACCGTGCAGCAGCCGAGGTGCCCTGCCCTGTGCCCAGGAAGAGGGGCGAGGGACGAGCCACAAAGCGCCAGTCTGTGCCCACCCAGCCTCGCTGGGGCTGGACACACCAGCCAAAATGGTTACAGGAAGGAGGTGACACTGCTCCTTCCTTGGAGTTGTTGTGGGGATTATTTACATCATTACTATTGCCCTGTCGTTCTCATGCAGCCAGCAGAAGTCACACAGCCTTTGTAAGTTCAGTTTAAAAGACTCAAAAGAGTGTATGCGTATGTGTGTGTGTGTGTGTGTGCGCACATATATCATTCAGATGTTGGGATGTGGGGATTGAAGGGGAGCAGGAGAAGGAGCAGGAGTGCAGTGATTGTGCAGACGAGGAACCCCGAGCAAGACGGACAAAGAAAACGGAAGCAGAGTTGTGAACAAAACAACCCTCTCTGTAAATCCACATGCACACACTCCCAACACCTCCCAGCAGCCCGGACCGCGGTCCCGCTTTACCGGAGCCGCCTCCCGCTCCGCCCGCCGGGCCCTGCCCCGGGGCGGGGCGGCGGCGAGCGGAGCCGCAGCCAGGTGACCTTGGCAGGCAGAGCCGGGCTGCGCCCGCCGCCGGGGAAGCTGGGTGGAGAGACGGCCGAGATGGTGGAGGACGGCGGCGAGGAGGAGGCGGAGGGGGAGAGCGGGGAGGTGCCGGCGGCGGCGGCCCCTCTGCAGCGCTGCAATGGCTTCCTGCCCGGCAAGGAGGCGGCGGGCGGCGGGGAGCGGCCGGCCCCGGAGGGCGGCGAGGAGCGGCCGGCCCCGGCGGCCCCGGAGGCCGAGGCGATGCTGGCGGCGGGCGGCGTGCGGCCGGAGGCGCGGCTGGAGACGCGGCTGTCGCGGAGACGACTGGCGGTGCTGGCTGTTTTCAGCTGCTACTCCCTGGTGAACGCCTTCCAGTGGATCCAGTACAGCATCCTCAGCAACGTCTTCGCCGGCTTCTACGGCGTCTCCTTCACGCAGATCGACTGGCTGTCCATGGTGTACATGGTGGCCTACGTGCCGCTGATCCTGCCGGCCACCTGGCTGCTGGATGCCCGCGGGCTGCGCCTCACGGCGCTGCTGGGCGCGGGGCTGAACGCGCTGGGAGCCTGGCTCAAGTGCGGCAGCCTGGCCCCCCAGCGCTACCCCCTCACCCTGGCCGCTCAGGCCGTCTGCGCCGTCGCCCAGGTCTTCATCCTGGGGCTGCCCTCCCGCATCGCCTCCGTCTGGTTCGGCCCCACCGAGGTCTCCACCGCCTGCGCCGTGGCCGTGCTGGGCAACCAGGTAGGGCCGCCGGGGAGCGAGGGGGGCTTCGGAGAAGCGGGCTTCCTTGGAGTTCGGCATCGAGTTAAAAACAAGGTGCTTAAGTGGGAAAAGGCTTTCTCGAGGATATGGTTTTGGGAGAGCGGACAGGTGAGGAAGAGGGGCCGAGCGTAAGGTGATGGATGCTGCGTCCCGCGCTGCCCGGCCAGCCTGGCTGTGCAGGAGCCGGGCCATGTGGCAGCGTACGGCAGCTCACACACTTCTATCAGCTGTCGGCAGTACATCAGTCGAGACCCTTTTCAGATGTTGGTCCTGCTCCTCTTCCTCTGGCATTCTGGCACTTGGATTCGTTTGACTGAATCCACCTCCGGCTGGAGGGGGTGTGAACTACGTGAACTTTCATGAAGAACCCCAACAACAACATATATCGGTTTCTGCTTTTTAAAATGTGGCCTCTAATTGCCAGGTGCCAGTAGTCAATACCCTGGTGACTCGTGAAGTTTTGTCTAACGCTGTCATAGTTCACATCACTGTGGTGGTAACTGAGTCACGGATTTCCTCAAGCTCCCTGGTACTGGCTAGTTCCAGAGAGCTGGAACAGGTGCATCTGAAAACGCAGGTGCAGGTATGACACTTTTTCCTCCCATAGCCTTATTCTTACCTCCTGCCACTGTCCCAGCTTTTTTATTATTATTTTTTTTCTCCTGTGGCAAAAAAATTGCTAAGGTTCAAGTCAGTATCTCTGGTGCAGGCTGAGGTCATAGGTAGAGTTTGGTCAAGGTAACGGGGGATTTATTTTTTGTCATGTGAGTCTGATGATTTTATGTTTGTGCACTTTGGATTATGACAGCAGTGACATTAATGTTACATGTTTACAATTAGGGTGTTAACCTAGCTGATTCCTCATTAACTGATACTTGGCGGTTCACAGCTTTTCCAAAATATTTTTTTTTCACATCGATTTTTCGAGTGGACAAGTCAACTGCCCCTTTTGGACTGAAGATTTCAGAAAATGTTGGCTGTTTCAGCAGTGAGGCAATAATTTTGGATCTGCATCCTTGGTATCAGGTTGCAGGTTTCTTTGGCAGCTGAAGTTCCACTCTTCCTGCCATGCACCGGTCCTTCCAGTAGGAAGGAGTTACGGGGTTTTCACTTCTGCGGTAGTGTCAAGCATGCAGCTTGGAGCCTGAAACCGGTGCTTCACTCGGATGCTGAGATGTGGGGTTGAAGTGGTGCAGGACAGGAGCGGGAGAGGAGGGGTTGTGTGGATGGGAACCACGAGAAAGATGGACAAGGGAAACAGGATCAGGATATGAACAAAATAAACCGAGGCTGTTTCTGGAGTGTGTTCCCGCCAGCAGCTAGGGCTGATCCCAGTGTGCCTGCTGAAGTGCTTCCAGGTACTCTGTCAATTGAACAACAGAATTTCTCTTTTCTCAGGTTTGCTTCCTTTAAAAACCCCTAAAAGCTCTCAAAAGCTAGATTGAAAGAGTGTCAAGATAAGGAGTTAGGCACTTGGAAGTTAGAAGTAATGTCTGTGTATCCCATTGCAGTTCCCTTCTGCATAGGCATTCCCGTTGGAATCACTGCGCTGGGTAATTGCACAAGGTGAACTGTGTAACAGAACAGGTGGCTAAAAGCCACTCAGCTATTGCTCATCCGATTGCTTCTCTCAGGTACTGTGTGTAGCTTCAGACCTACAAACACGGCCGGGACCGCAGGCAGGGCAGGAACAGGGCAGTTATCAACAATTATCTCACTTCTTGGAGATGCTGATCGTTTGCAACTGGGACACAAATCACTGGGAGTGCAGCGATGTCAACCCTGTCAAGGGTTGTTAGGAATGCCCCATCTCCACAAGTATTTAGCGCCTCAAAATGAGTCTCGCCAAACTCACTGGAACACTTTCTTCTGGCCTTAACCTCTCTAGGTGTAAACGATGGAAAATGGAAACTCGACTTTATTGGAACATTGTGGGCACTGTATTGGCTCCTATTGGGGGAGGAAAAAATATACCTAAAGAAAAAAATTAACTGTGTGCTCAGTTCATGTTTGTCGGGCTCATATACTGAAGAGTGAGGACAAAAGGAGACAAATTCTCCCTGTGACTACTGGATACAGTGTCAATCTGATAGCCTGGGGGGGAAAAAAAAGGTAGCAAAACCCTCCTCAGGGTATGCACAAAGGATACTTTGTAAGCTCAGTGGCACACCTCTAATGTGACGATTTCTGATTGTTGGACTTGCTGCTCTAAGTCTTCGGTGCTCTTCTTAAATTTAATTTTATGTAAAATAAATGTTCCAACACTTTAAAATGCCATTTAGTTTTGGGGGAGATAAACTGGAGAATAGTCCAGTACTTGTTCTTTCAGGATTTAAAATGCTTTATTTATATTCACAAAAATTCAGTCCCTGTTTTATGTTTCTATTAATGCAAAATCAGTTGTTCTGTTGGAATTTATTCCACACACAAACCCACTATTACTTCACTCTGTGATTTTTATTTATTTCCTTAGCAATAATCACTGGGTTTGGTCTTATTAAGGATATTTAATTTCTCTTGCTTTTCTCTGCTCTGTCTGTTCTACAGTAAACCTTGCAGTTGGGCTTTGCTACTGTAGTGGCAGGAGCGTGACATCAAATGAAGAACATTTCTACAAGAGTAGCTAGAATCTTGCATCATCTCTAGCCCTTAAGTTGCAGGATGACTGATAGAAATTTATGTTCATGCCTGGTGCTTTCACTTTCCTGTGAAAGATTCTTGTATAAGTATAAAGATTCTTGTACAAGTACTGTTTGTAGTGTAAATATATACACTAAGTGTGGCATCGTAGTTCAGTTGAGAAATTTAAAGGTTAAAACCTGAGTTATGGAAGATCTGGTTGTAAAACAACACTGAAATCAAGTGGTTCAGAAGTGTGTTACTAAAGTATCACAAAAAAGTAAGCTTCTTTTAATAACAGTTCTGAATTCTGCCTGGTAAGGCTTTTCACTTCTGTTAATTTTTGTGATCAGAGGGAAATGATTTTAGTTTTGTCTTCTTGCTTTACAGCTTGGTACTGCAATTGGCTTTTTGTTGCCACCTGTTTTGGTCCCAAATACACCGAATGATATTGATCTTATGGCACATAACATCGGCATCATGTTCTATGGAACAGCGATCGTGTCCACGCTTTTGTTCTTCTTAACAGGAGTTGGTAAGTGTTTAAATTACTGGAATTTATATGCTGGCTATAGGGAGTGTTGACAATGTCTCACTTAAAGCAGCTGACTGCTCAAAGTATGTTGAGGTTACAGTTTCTCCAGTTTGTGTTCATTTACCTGTTGTGCCAGGGTTTAACAATAAACATTTCACTGTACATCGTGCTTCACATGGGGTGATTTCTTCCAGAATATTTAGTTCTCTTAGTTTCTTTGCTGCGAGGACTTATGATACAATGTGAATTCATTCTGTTAATCTTACAATTTATACACAAAGGTCTTGACGTATTGCAGGTGAAATCTGTCTTTGAGCATATTTTGGTAGCAATCAGATGTGACCAAATAACACATCCTTTGTGGATGTGACTTAGTTCTTCAGTGAGAAAATTCAGAAATTTTTTTCATGGAGTTGTTAAAACTACAAGTCAGTCTTCTGAAATTCATCAAGCTGAAACACTTCCAAAAAAAAAAAAAAAAAGGCACATTAGTTTGGTAGAGATGAATCAAAAATTGTTCCTTCTTCTTTTTCCCCAGTGTTTGAAGAAAAGCCCAAATACCCTCCCAGTCACTCTCAAGCAATCCTGCAAACTAAACCTCCTGAGGATTACTCCTACAAGCAGTCCATTATTAACTTGTTCAAAAATATTCCATTTATACTTTTGCTAATCAGTTATGGTAAGTGGTGTTATCTGTTTGCAGTCTGGCAGAAAGGTTCAAATGTGGGCCAGAAGCACATAGAATTTTAATTGTGAAGGAGTTTTTTTAAATGGAAGAGGGAGTGTCAAACTTCTATTTATTCAGGTGCCAGTGCTGGCAAATCTGTAAGGATCCAAAATACCACTTATAGGTCCAGTGTAGAGATTTTACCTGGCACATAAAAGGTTTTGTGTCAGAAGAGTAATTCTTTAGGGTAACAAATCTGCATGTCTGCACCTGGAATGATTGAAACTTTTTTCTTAATACTGCAGGTATTATGACTGGGGCATTTTATTCTGTCTCCACCTTATTAAACCAGATGATAGTAACTCATTATGAGGTAAGTTTCTTGGATCTTCTCTGTCTCTTTCACTGTAGATTTGCAGAGGTGATATTTATTTTGTAGGTGCTATGTGTGCTCAGACATTTGGTTTCTCTTATACCTCTGTATTTCTTGTACCATACAGCTGTGGGAGTCATAGGAATGTTTGTTTGCACTTATGACTGCCAAGAGGTCTGAACTTGACTCTGAGTGGAAGCAAGTTATTAATGAGCACCATATAAATATTTGTTGAAAGGGAGAAGAAGTGAACGCTGGGAGAATTGGCTTGACACTGGTGGTGGCAGGAATGGTGGGTTCGATTATTTGTGGTTTGTGGCTGGATTACACTAAAACTTACAAGTAAGTGTGGGTAGGCATGTATGGGGTTAGGGGTAGGAGAGTGGTGCAATTGCATTAGGAAAATGCTCCAATGTAAGGGCTGAAATGAACTGCTGATGAAATGCAGTTTGTCCCTGATCTTTTAGTGGCCTTCATGGAGAAAAGTTTCTGAGGCTACAGCAAAAGCTTGAGACTCTTACTGGTCAAAAGGAGATAAAATGAAAGAGCAGAATGCAAATATGCAAGAGATTTTTCCATCTACTCCGGTCTCTTCAGGAGTATAAGACTAACAAGGAAAGTGGCCAGGTGGCCCAGTGAGATTCTTCATAAAGTCTCAAAGCCTACCCTGCATTGCTTCGTAAAATGGCCAGTTGTTGGATTTTCAATTTTTTATGCTATTCCTGATCCTATTAGTAAGTGTAACATTTGCTTTGATTCAGAGGATAACCACGGAGCAGAGCTCTGTGTTCTGGGGTAGGAACTCCTGGGTCCATCATCCATGGTGTGATGACCCCAGAAGTGAGCACTGCCCTGGAGCACTGTTTGTGATGGAGTAGCTCTCCCCTGTGACTCTTAGTCCATTATGTGCCTGTACAAGCCTAATGGATGTTAATGCTGTAGATTGGCTTTGTTTCTGCATGTGTTTTGCCTTATAAATATGTGCTTTAAGAATTTGGAAGACATCCCTTCTTTCGGATTCAAAATAAATAGAACACTGTAATGAGATTTGTTTGGCTTGCCTCTTGGTAGGCTGACTTTTATTGCTAATAGTGTTGGACCCAGATGCTCCTGTGTTGATGTATTGTGTAATGGGCAGCACTGCAGAATGGCCAAGAGGTACAACATAGCAGAGAACTAAAATAGTCTTAAGGAAGTAGTATGTGCTGTGATTGTCCATTCTTTGAGCGTCTGAGTAAGTGTTCTGAGCCTTGAATTAGGCAGCCAGATAACCAAGACAGTGAAGAGTTCAGGAAGGGATATGTGCTCACTGCATGCTAATTTTGAGGCAGAATTACATGAAGCAAAATTTATAGCTTTAGAATGGCTTATGTAATGTTCACGTTACCCCTCTATGCTTCAGCAATGTGCAATGGCCTTCCATTAACAATGTTAATTTTTTGTTGTTGTTGTTGGGTTGCAGGCAAACTACTTTGATTGTTTACATTCTCTCTTTCATTGGGTTGCTGGTATTTACCTTCACCCTGGACCTCGGATACCTTATAGTAGTGTTTGTGACTGGAGGAGTGCTTGGGTGAGCAATTATAGAGCGCTACGGGACTTACTGCTGTTCTGAAACATATTTAAATGTTTTACCTAGATAATTCTGCTGTGTATTCTGTCACCATGATCTCAGCCTATGCCTTTAGCTCACAGTACACATGGGATTCACCTTCTGTTACATCAGAATAAATCTAAAGTAACTCACTTTTCAGTAAATTTTGTTTATCATTTTTATGGACCTAAGAGAGGTCTCTGTGATGAATTTGGTTCCAATTCAGAAAGCTGTCTGCAGTGAAGTTGAAGCTTTCTCCTGACCAGTGTGTAGGTGATTAGAGTTTAACTGAGCAGATTTAGGAAGACTGGCTTCTCTGCATTTTCATTAATCTATACTTGGATAGCCCAAGCCACATGCTGGTTGCTTTGTTCGCTGTGCTCATAGATACCCGATCTAAAAGCCTCAGGAGGTGCTGAGGGAATGTTGCTGTATTCAGACACAGAAGTCAAGATAAAACCAGAAGTGTCTTGAGAGTTTCAGTTTAAAAACCAATCAACCAACCTCAGCTGCATTAAGCCCCTTCTCTTCCTGTTATTCATCAGTCCCCTCAGCTTCTTCCATAGCAGCTTCCAGCAGGCATTCCAGTGTACAGCTTCACTCGTATTCATGGTCTCTTTTTGTCCTCCAGCATGCATATTTGGGCTGATCAAACGGTGATGTTTGTGTGTGTCTATAATTTGAAACTAATTGGCTTCAAGTGTGGAGTGGCTTGTGGACTCATTAGAAAAGGTTGTTTCATATGTATGGTGGTTATGGGAAGTAGGACAAACATGTTTTAACAGCTTTGTCCTAAAGAGAAATATGTGTGGCTAAAATTCTTGGATCATATTGAGGGAATGAAGCAGTCACTATTATCTGGAATTATTGAATTATGTTAAGTCATGAACACATGACTGTTCGGAATACCAGCTAATTCATAATACCATGTGTGTATGTTAGGTTTTCTTAGCTGTAGTAACTGATGAAGGCCACACCTGTCATCCTCTTACTCTCCTCTTCAACAGGTTCTTCATGACTGGCTATCTTCCACTTGGGTTTGAATTTGCTGTGGAAATTACATATCCAGAGTCTGAAGGCACTTCCTCAGGTCTCCTTAATGCATCAGCACAGGTTACAACATTTTATTTCTTCAAGTGAAGTAATGTTCAGGAAGGCTACTGTACTTGAGCCTAGGAGGGCTTTCTTAGACTTAGCCAAGTCTCTGTTTTGTTGCTATGGTCCTGTTTTTTTTAAATTTGATTTCTATAAGATGTGACCTGGAACTTTTGAAGGTAAAATGATGACTCTTTTCTGTGTGCTCCTGATGAAGTTACTTGTTTGTTTATAGATATTTGGAATTGTCTTTACACTTGTTCAAGGAAAACTCACAACAGACTACAGTCCGCGTGCAGGAAACATCTTTCTTTGTGCTTGGATTTTTGTGGGCATTATTTTAACAGGTAATTACAAGTACAGGTAATGGTTTCTCTTTAATGTAAAAATGTATATGCTTTTAGGATGGTGTTGCTAATATATGGACAGCCATCTGACCCCCATTTCTTGAGACACATTTGAATTTGAGGCAGATATCCATCTGCAAAGTGGGCTGAGAAATGGAAACAAATGCATAAATGGAGGCAGTTTGCAGTTTTCCAAATGCAGGAAATTGCTGATGCACTCTGGAACTGTGCCAGTGTTTACACATGTTGACTCAGAAATGTGCTGAAAGTGCTGAAACTATCAAGTTTTTCTTTAAGTTCTTGTGGTTTAAAAGATTTTATTGTCATTTCCTGCTTTGCGTGGAGCAAACTCAAATTGTCAGTAAGTTCAAATCGCAAAGAGCAAATACGGGTATTTTGAAAATGTGCTGAAAGCAGCTTCTGTGTGCTTTCACCATACAAACATTTTCCTTGAAGTGCATGTCACTGCAAAAGTGTGAACCAGCTTTCCTTTTTTTCTTTTTCTTTCAGCCTTAATAAAATCAGATTTGAGAAGACACAACGTGAATTCAGGGATTATGAACTTGGACGTTAAAGCTGTAAGTGGTGACTCTTTTGCCATGACTGTGTTACCTACTTGAATGCTTGACTTCTACTGGCGTAACAATATTAGCTGTAAAAGAGTAATTGACAAAATCTTATGACTGATTCCATGCTGGTTTTGAACAACAGAGCCACATGGGATGCTGCCCTCACATATCTGATTTTCTCTTTAACTCCCATGAAAGAAACCTAAAAAAAAGTTCTGCTCTCAGATTTGCTTTGAAATTTTGAATTTTTTGCATATTTGAATTTTAAGTGGCTAATAATATTATTTTATTGTTTGAATCTTGCTTTTTCATAATAGCAGGATAGCATTGTAAATTGTGAAGCCTTTTTGTTTATTGGGTTATAAGGCCATCCTATAGACTACGTATTTTATTTAAAATATCTGCAGTCCCTTCAGATGAAGTCAGTGTCTGATAAACAGAAACCATGCTAGAGTTTTAATACAGTGCTACATAAAGAGCTGGATTTATTCTTCTGCTGACACTCTCAATTTAAATGAAGAGCAAACATAGCATTTTCTGATGATCATAAGGTTCCATGTTTCAGCAGCTTTTCCAAACTACTATAGTTACTAGTAGAAATAAAGCTTTCAGTGGAAAATTTTTTCAGTGCTGTGAGTTTTTGATTGTTTGGATCAAGATATGAGACAGCTCTTTGGAGTCAGACATTGCAAGATCCTCTGCCATGCTTCTTTTTGTGTAGGTGTCTTGCATGTCCAGCAGCTTTTGATCATGTGTGACTAACTGCACGCTGTTAATGTCTGTGTAAGGTTCAGGAACTTCCGAGCTGCTGCTGTCTGGGCTAACTTGACCCTGAAACCTGTGCAGCTGCGTGTGCTCAGTGTGACATCCTGTGGGTTTCCCAGCTGAGCTGGGGCTCTCTCGGGGCTGTGCATGACTCATCTGCTTCCCATCATCACCTCGTTAATTAGCCCAGGTCGACACACAGCTTCATTCATCTCAACCAGGGTGTAAGAAAAGCTGCAGTCCTTGGCCTGATGTTGCCATGCATGATTGAGACCTGCCTGTGTTAATAATGTTCAATATCACTTTGAACCTTGATCAAGATTCTACTGTGGTTAAATGTAATGGAGAAAAAAATGGGAAGTTAATCTTCATATGACAAATACTTACATGCAGTAAATATAAACTTTAGAGTTATACTAAGAAATACTATACTATGTTTGGTGTATTTTTTTTGTTACAAAAAGAAGGGAAAATAGGGTTTTATATAATTGCTTAATTGAGCTAATTAACTATATATACTGTTGGAGTCTAACCTAATAATTACCCAAGAATACTGAGTTTAAGAATAATTCTGTTGAATAACAGCTTAATTCCTGTTGTGTTTTTATTTTCTTATCTCCCTCTTCAGGTACCAGTTGACAGTCCTGTAGAACCTGAAAGCACTACATTAAAGATTCAGTCAGCTTTGTAAAGCTGAAGGAAGGTGACTTAAAAACGCACAAGTTTGGTTAGATCTGGAACAATATGAGCTAGTGTAATCACTGGATTTGTGTGCACGAGTACAAATATGTGTTTGTTGATATTGGTGGTAGTTGTGTGTTGGAAGCTATGAAGATACTCAGCTCATTTTGCACAAGATGCAAACAATTCACCTTTGTATGGAATATTTATTTTAACATTTTCAAGTTTTGCAGTTTCATTAGTGAAGAGCTGTGTGAACGCTCCACAGCAGGGACACATGTGCACCCAGGATGCATACTTGAAAAAAAACCGGGAATCTTAAGTACAGTTATGATCAGAAATATCTAATCTTCTTTTCTTGTTCAGTCTTGCTGGTGCATTTGAAAAGTCAAGGAGTAGGGAGATGCACAGCAGGAGGATGTTCACAAGTTCATTTTTTATTTTAAATGTATCTGTATTTGAATATAAACCAATGATTCCTTCTAGGAAAGTGATAGCACAATACTGAAAACAAGAGATGATGAGTGTGTTTCATACTGGCATCTGACAATTCTTTTGCCTTGAAATTTCTTTATAGGTGTCAGAAGGCAGATAAGAGAAAACACTGTTCTTGCTATAGCTTCATTATAGCATTTCTGGGGAGAGTTAATAAGTTTCTCACTAGATAAATTGGAGAATAAACAATTCTTATTAAATACAGTAAAAAGGAGGGCAAAGGCCTCTGATATCTCTATTGTGAATATTTATAAGCAATGGAAAACTACCACACAAATTTCCTCCATGGAATATTTTGAGTGCTCTCTCAGTTAAAGAGAGAGGAGTATGTGTTTACAAAGAGCCAGTGCCTTTACTTTGTAAAGAAGATCCCTGCCTCATCTTGAGTTTAATCAGTGCTGCTGAAGAAATTCCATTTTGTGTGTTAAACCTCTGAATATTTGTGGAGTATCAGAAAATGTGTTCTGTCCTTTTTATGAATTGTATCACTTGTCGCATGTGAAATTCCTGTGCTTGTGTAATTCAAATCATGTCTTTTGCAGTTTGATAAAAGCTGTAAGGATGACTGAAAGGAAAATAGTGATATTTTTATTTCTCTGATCAAATATTTTCTTTTATACCATCTTAGCTGCAAAATGAGCAGACATCATTAACAGCAACTTTTTGTTACCTCGTTTACCTGTATTTGGGATGGAGGTTTCTCAGTGAAGTGCTTTTGAAAATTTTCTTTTACCTTGTGCTCTATCTACACACCCACAGAACTGATAGCACTACAGTAATACTATTGCTGGGAAAATCAGACCTGGGTGAGTAGACTATTTGGAAACACTTAATTTTTAGCTCAGCAAACTGAACCTGCAAGTTCAGTGCCATTAGTGATGCTGTATCTTTGAGTTCCCACAGGTGCAGTGCCATCCAGAAGCTGGAATCCTACTTGATTGTTACAGTTGGGGATGGGGAATTATTTAACTCTGTGCTGGTTTCAGCTGGACTGGTTAATTTTCTTCACAGTGACTGGCATGGGGCTGTGTTTTGGATTTGTACTGAGCACAGGGTTATAGTATAGTGATGTTTTTATTGTTGTTGAGCAGGGCTTACACAGAGACAAGGCCTTTTCTGCTTTTTATCCGTCAGAAAAGGCGAGGAAGTTGGGAGTGCATGGGAGGTTGGGAGGAGACACAGCCAGGACAGGTGACCCCAACTGAACAAAGGGATATTCCAGACCACATGACATCATGTTCAGTGTATACAGTTCGGGGCAGAAGGAGGAAGGGAGGAGGGATCTTTGGAGTGATGGTGTTTTCTTCCCAAATAGCCATTGCACTTGATGGGGATTGCTGAGCACCTGCCTGCCCTTGGCAAGCGGTGAATTAATTCCTTGTTTTAATTTGCTTGTGTGTGTGGCTTCTGCTTTCCCAATTAAGCTCTCTTTATCTCAACCCATGAGTTTTCGAGCTTTTACCCTTCTGACTCCATCCTCAATCCCATTGATGGGGAAGGGAGTGAGCAAGTGGCTGCCTGGGGCTTGGTGAATGGCTGGGGATAAACAGCAACAAACTCCAAGATAGTCTCTAGTATAATAAATATCTAAAAATATCAAAAATCTCTAAGTACAATAAATACCATTAAAAGCTTTTCTTTTTCTTATTTCACTGTAGACTCAGAAAATCCTTTTGTATAAAGAGGGCCCTGAAAACCTATCTTTCTAAGCTTGGCCTTAAATGTGATGATCTTGATTTAAACATTTTGTATGGTAAATAGACAGGGGGAGACCTATCAGAATAAACTAAGCACGCTTGGAACAATTGCCTTGCCAAAAAGAGTTCCTGTCTCTTTGCCAGATCCCGTGCTAGGGAGAAAATGGCCAGGCCTTGCTGCTCCTGGAGAGGTAAACTCTAGAAGAGTCCACTGCTGAAATAGTTGAATATAGGAAAAGTAACTCTTGGCTACTCAAATGGCAGGCAAGGGTATAGGAGTAAAAGTAGAGATACTTTCATTATCTCTGTCCTTTACTTTGAAGCTGCCCCATCAAGGAATGAGCACGTTTTCAGCCTGAGTGAGAAAAGTGAAAGTTTCTGCCTTGTGGCATATGTGGGTGGCTTTTCCCTTTGGAAAAATGATAATAACGTGTGCCAATATATATATATATATGTTTTTCAGCAAGATACGGATACAGAAAATATTTATGTTCATGGCCCATGGTTGCTTTAACTTTTGGTGTTGCAAAATCTTAACAAGATAATATTTTTTTAGTTTTGGGGAATTGTTTTCAAATGTCCAGTTGAAAGTGTTTGGCAGTATCCAGGATGTTTGCTGACCTGTTCAGTACACACTGTTCAAAATCAAAGACTGAGTATTTTTCTTTCTTTCTTAAAATTTATTTTTTAATGCTTTCTTCACTACTAGTTTCCACTTTCTTTAGTTATGTTGAGCTGATTATTGAAAAAATACTCTAGTTCTGGCTCCTTGTGTTTTTTGTCTTCTGCCAAATTACTTGGTTACCTTCTGAAAAGGTTGAAACAAGATTTTGGCTTGCTGGAAACACTGCTGGGTCCCTGAAAAGAAAATATTCCTAATAATGAAGGCTCAATTACATCCTTGATTTAATATTCCCCTTCTATAAGGAGTTTGAAAGTTGGAAACCTGTGAGCTATTTTCAGGCAATAATAAAGTATTTAAATGAAAGGCTCAGCAGCAGGACAGAGAGCAAATCAGTATTTTTTATGCAATAGTCTTACCATCTGTCAAGAAATTTGGGTTCTAGCTCATGGCAGGAATAAATTTGGAGAAGTTGAGGCTTTGTGGTTTTTACTTTTGATTTTTGGGTTTTAGCAGACAACATCCACTCAGTCAAACATAGAATGCTAAGAGGTTGGAAGGGACCTTAAAGATCATCTGGTCCAAACCCACCTGCCATGGGCTGGGACATTTCCCACTAGACCAGGTTGCTCAAGGCTCTATCCAACCTGGCCTTGAACACTGCCTGGCTTGGGGTGTCCACAACCTGCCTGGGAAACCTGTTCCAATGACCTACCATCCTCACAGTAAAACATTTATTCCTGATACCTAAATTAAATTTCCTCTCTTTTAGTTTGTACCCATTCCTTCTT